GTCCTGACCAGGTCCAGTCTTATTATCCGTCCGAACTTTGGGATTAACCCGACCAGATTTGACCTTAACATCCGACCCTAAGCTCACCCGACCCGGTTATTGCAGTCATACTTGGACTTTCAAAAAGCCCACTAGACTTTTCGAATAAATCTTAACCTAATCTTGGCAGGCCCATTTTCTAAAAACATATCCACCAATTTTTGTGCTCAACAACTTGCCTCCTCCCGCCAAAACGTCACTCCTCGAACTACGGAAGACGTGACGTTTTAGGGTTACAGAGTGTGATCATCACACTGTGCCGCGTCAAATCAAAGGGTTTATGTTAAACCCTACCTTCATCCTCTCAAACTCACGCATTCAAAATTCTAAAAAACCCCTCTGTTTTCCATCTAGCTTCCTCATTTGATTTTACTTCCTTTCTATCTCTTTCATCCTCGCGTAAATGGCTAACCAGTATGTTCCTGCACTTCCTTTTGACGGAACCGAACCCTCAGTATCCTTTGTGGCTTCCAAGGTTCTTACTCCTACGATTCGTCATTACTGCACTACAACTGCAGATGCTGAGCGCATGAGATCTGTTAATGCGCAAGTTTCTCCTATTATCATCAACAACGAAGCTTTCAAACCAGAGCGCCTTCTGGACAGTATCAAGACTCACTTGACTGATCCAAAAGATGCTTATCGCAAATGGTACGCAAGGCTTCTTCCCCATTTTGAAAACCAATGGAAAGCCCAAGGGATTGATAAAGCTATCCTCCTCTCAACGCAACCCCTTTACCTACACGATAAAATCTTAATGGCCATGGCAGCCTTTTGGCATTCGCAGAAGGGTGCCTTTTTCCTCCCTTCAGGTCCTATGGGACCGACCTTAATGGATGTAGCAGTGATCGCGCATCTGCCGATCACAGGTGAGGACCCCGTTCTAGTCTCTCTCGGAAATCAAGAACCTTCCCCCAACCATCAAGGTTGGGCCCTGGCTAAGCTTCCTAAAAGGGAAAGAGGATGGACACACTTTGTTAACAAATATCAGGGTAAGGAGGGTACCCCTGTTTCCGAGTTGCAACACACTGCTTTCCGCCTCTTTTGGCTCTGCAGGTATATCTTCTTCCTTTTAATTTCTTTTGTATCTCCAAAGTATGGATATTCGAGCTTAAATTTCTTTCTTCTTTCGTTACATGTATATCATCATTTCCCCTTCAAAACTTGTCCTTTCCACTCACACTGACCTAGCCATCCATTTGGCCTGTGGCCACTTTTCTTCATTAGGCACCTTATTCTTAGCTAACCTCTTTGAAGGTTTAACTCGAGTAAGTTTCCGTCTTACGGATACTAAAAAGGCGGACACTGCAGCCTCGGGACCATTTTGGTTCCTGGAATTGTGGCTCCGTCTATACTTCCCTTTTGCATTTTTTGGTCGCCTCCCAATTTCTCCCAATCCTTATAGGTCTATTGGTTATGCCTTAGCCAGATTAACCCCGAATTCTTCTTGTCTAAAATCCTCCGATTCTATAATAACCCAAATTTTGACTGAAGATCGGAACAATTCCTGCTTTTTTGTATACACAACCTTAATACAATATTCGACTGATCTTTTCTTCCTTTATCCTGACCCAACTCATCCTCTAACTCGCCCTGATCCTATCCCTCATCCGACCTACACTTTTTCCTGGGACGTCGCAATGAAACCCCGATCTCTTTTTTCCAGTAGGAGTTCGGATAAGAAAAATCGTAGATCGTTTTATACTTACAATTACCAACCTCAATTTTTGTCGAGGCAATTTGGTTGCTGCCAGGGCATACCAGGACCATTAGCCAGTCCCCACCTAATATTTCAAAGCCCCGAGGGACTGGTAATTCCCGAACTCATCCCGACCTATATTTCTCAACTTACCAACTATATTACCTCCAATTCATTCCTACCTTTCTGCGCAAAAGCCTCGACAACTGAAACTTTCCCTGCCTGGTGGTCGGACACCTGGTCTTTACTTGTCCCTTCAACTGACCAACTGGTCGGGAAACTTGCTCCACCCCCAACCCTGGTTCTTGGCTCTCCCCGACTAGCAGCCAGAGGAAGGAAAAGGCAGGCACCTGTTGCAGGTGGGTCGGGAGCGAAAAGGCAAAAAACAAAGACCACTCCTGCCATTGACAGGCAGGCCATCGAGGACTACTTGGCGTCTCTGCCAATAGACACCAGTGGAATGCCAAAGTATTTAAGGCAACAATTTGGTAAGTTTTGTTCCTTTCACCATGTCATTTTCATACGGTCCCCTTTTAACTTCAATATCTCTGTTTCAGAAGGTCCTTCATTGCCACCATCCACTGGTCCGACCATATCTCAGCCGATCGATCATCAATTACCCGAGGCACAATTTCCCATTAATCTATCCTCGTCCCGATCAACTGCCGTCCCGACCAAAGAACAACCATCTGTGGTCCGGACCACAGAACAACTCCATGTGGTCCCGACCACAGAACAACTGACTCCCAGACAATCAGAGGTAAAAATGGTTTCTGACATTCCTTAGACCAACAAATATTAATTTTAAACAATAACTTCAAACCTTTTATTGTAGGCACACCGACCAGAAGAATCGATGGGAAGGCCACTTCCTCTCCCAGCGTCGGATATGGTTGCGGTGATGCCCGACCAGCCTGTTGTCCTCCCCGATCAAATTGCAGAACCACAACAAATAAGCGCTAGACCCTTTTTCAATGTTGTCCTTTTTATAGAACTCCTGTCAACTAAATCCTATTCCGACCAGGCACCCATTGAAAATGTGGTATTGCCCGAACCTGACCAGGTCGCGGCTTTACCCGACCCACTCGCTCAACAAGTTGATGAGGTTCCTCTTGCTGCTCCCGAACTAGTCCAACCAGACCTACCACCCCACGATGTAGAGGAAATTTCCTCTTCAAAGTCGGGTGAAGCCTCCGTCAATTTTGCCCCGCTGGGTCCGGTTGGTACTATTTCTTATCTATTATATTTTTATCGCCCATCCAATGGTGCTAAAATTTTTGTCCTTTGTTCAGGGTATGAAATTAGCAGCTGCCCATCATCTTCCAACAGGGGATGAATCAGTTTCTGGTCCGACTATTCGTCCAGTCAACCCCTCAATTTTCCAACTCATGGCCCCTTCTGAGGCTACAGCTGCACTGAATCAAGTAACCTTCCAACCTTATCTCTCAAGAAATTTACCCTATATCTTAACTCACTAATCTCCTCCTGGTTTAGGCTACCCAGGAGATGAACATTTTGGTCCGTCAGAACCATTGTGGAATGCTGCGCCAACTTGGATTTTGCTGACTTAGAAATGGCTGACCTTTCGGCGCTAGTCCAAGTCGCAATAACCCTATTGGTTCAACCCGCCTTGGAGTCGGGAGCCTCACCTGTTCTCGATCGGATGATGGCCAGGATCACCGAACTTCAAGCTGAACTTCCTCTGATCCGACCCCCATCATCCGAGGCGACTTCCTCTCGGCAGGTTGTAGATCCTACCAATATTGAAGCAGATTTGAGGAAGGCCGACCAAGACCTCAACATGGCTAGGGCCCGATTGGACGAGCTCCGACAGGAAAGACATACATTAGCTACTGAAATCTCCCAAAAGAATGAAGAACTTCGACGACTTCAAGAACGATTGGAAGCTCTAGATGATAGCATACAGGAAGGAAGTCGTCTGGTTGAAACACATTGCCTTAACCAAACAAGTCTTTGCGAGCAACTTCAGACAACTATACAAATGAGACTCGTCCAGAGACATCAAGAAGCTTACCAACATCGACGGGCCATCAAGTCAGAACTAAAATGGACCGACCTTAAAACTTCTTTACGGGCTCTTCTCTCCATGTAATTCAAAGATCATGTACATTGCTTCAGACTTAACTTGTATATTAATTCCTATTTTTAGAAACTAGATCCTTTCTTTCCTGCGTTTGTACTAAGTCTAACAAGCAAACACAGATCCATGTTTATTGCCTATTACTAAATCACCTAACTTAGAAACCAAAATATCTATATAAACTCCGTACCTCAAACCTCCAAAACGTCATCATCATTACCCTTTTATTCAACATGGTTTCTCCTCGCCTCCGCGTTCCTCTTTCCAACTGGGAAGGTGCTCTCCAACCATTCTTAGTGGGAAAGCACCCCATAGGCCATCATGCTGAAGACATGATACAGGTTCTGAAACAACTGGATTTCAAATTCAGATTCTCCGGCAGAGGCAGGAGAACCATTCATCGTACCATCCGACTGATGGAGCGTATATCCACCAGCTACGAACCTTATACCGACATACTTACACGCATATTGGATCTCGACCACCATCTAGACATGATAAACCATCATGTAACCGCCATCCTTCCAGATCTTAGCTGGAACAACGATTTCCAACCACAAAGATCGACACTCTCCAAATTGAGTGTCCTTGCTGAACGAGAGTGTCAGTCCTTGCAAGACATGAAGTTCCGAACTGAACAAAATATTCAAGATATGGAAGACCAATGGGATCGCTACCGCCTGGATTTGGATGACCTTCTGGATGAAGAACCTGAAATGGTTTCGGCAGGCTGGGATGATACCATTAACCTTTCTGATGACTAGAGAACCCTTTATCAATGGATTCGAACCCTTTGGAGGGTTCTTATTATATATTTTTTCTTTTAATAATTAATGACAGTTCCGAAAAGGAAGGGTAATACCTTTTCAGATACTTACCATTAATATTCTCATGTATCATTTTTCCTTCTTGATTTATGATAATAAATGCTCCATTCCCAATTACTTTATGAATGACGAAAGGACCTTCCCAGTTGGGAGACCATTTCCCTAATTGATCCACTTTCTTATAAGTCAGCAAAATTGTCTTCCAGACCAGATTGCCTTCTGCAAAAAACTTACGGACCACCCTTTTCCCATAGTATCTCGTCCTAATCTCGCTCTGCCTAACCACTTGGTCCGAAGCGTTCAATCGATCTGTATCTAACTCTTCCAATTGTCGTCACATCTTTTGTAAATACACCTCATCAATACAAGCTGTCTTACTGATCACCCTGGGTGAAGGCACGACAAATTCTGCAAGTAATACTGCATCTTGCCCGAATGTTAATTGGTATGGGGAGAATCCAGTAGAGGTATTTCTACTATTTCGATGAGCCCACAACGCCTGAGGCAGCAAAGTATGCCATTTCCTTGGATTCTCCTCCATCATATTCCGAATAATACCGATAATAATCTTATTTGCTGCTTCGGCCAATCCATTCGCCTGTGGGTAGTATGGCGAAGAATGGTGTAGCTTAACATTAAATTCGGCCAAAAACTCGACAAACTTTTCCCCAGTAAACATCAACCCTTGATCAGTTGTGAGAGTGTGAGGAATTCCAAATCGATAGATGATATGATTGAGTACGAATTCAATCATTTCTTTCTGCGTTGCATTCTTCAAGGGAGCTGCTTCTACCCATTTGGTAAAATAATCTGTCGCCACCAAAATGAAAGAATGCTGTTTTGACGAGGTTGGATGAATTTTCCCAATTACATCTAAGGCCCAAGCTTTGAATGGCCAAAGTTTAACCATTGTCTTCAATTCTACTACTGGCAGATGATTTAAAGGACCATGCCTCTGACATTCTTGACATCATTTGGAAAACTTGATACAATCATAAAAAATCTTCGGCCAATACAATCCCATACGATGGACAGCCCATCGCATGTTTAAACCTGCCCGATGCGCGCCACATATTCCTCCATGGACCTCCTTCATTATTTTAATAGACTCCTCAGGTCTCAAACACCTCAATAAAACCCCTTCAAAGGTTCTTTTATATAAAATCCCATCAATAAGATGAAAACGCAAAGCCTTTAACCGAATACGAACATGAGTGGTAGAATCTGGAGATTCCAAATACACCATAATCTCTGCTCTCCAAACAGTCTCAGAATCGACACTGCCAATCAACTGCTGACAGGCACTCTGAGCCAGATTATCAGCCAACTGATTCTCTGCTCTTGGTACATGCTCAAAAACTACTTCCCCGATTCTATGTAACAGATGGAGTACATCTCGGTATCTACGCAAATGAGGAAAATTACAAGCGTACCGTTTCAACACCTGGTTAATAACAAGTTGAGAATCCCCATAGATTAAAACAAACTGCACTCCCTTAGCGATAAGTGCTTCCAAACCCAAAATCAGTGCTTTATATTCTGTGGAGTTATGTGTCATTTCTTCCATTTGAAGCTGCAAATTAATTTTGCCGCCTCCTGGTCCTTCTAATATTACCCCCGCTCCCGACTTCCCTTTCGAACGGGAATCATCAAAAAACATTTTTCAAGGACTAGTGCCGATGTAAGGTGTTATTCTGTTTTCTGATGACCCATCACTTGTAAATTCTGCCAACAGATCAGCCACAACCTGCCCTTTTACAGCTTTGAGGGGTCGGTGCCGCAATGCAAAAGGAGCCAACTTAAGGGCCCACTTCATTAATCTTCCTTGCATGGTTGGTCTGTGGAGAATTAGTCTGACCAAATCCATTTTAGAAACCACTTCGGTCTCTCTTGGCAGAATATAATGTTCCAACCGAGTGCAAGCAAAGACTAGAGAATAGCACATTTTCCCGGGCATAATGTAATTCAATTCTGGTCCCGCCAAAGTCTTACTTTGATAATAAATGGCTCTTTCCTTACCATCTTCCCATTCTTGCACCAAAAGACTGCTTACAACATCAAAACTGTTCGCCAAATATAGCCGAAGAGGTCGGTCGCCTCTTGGAGGAACTAACACAGGCGGGTTAATCAAAGCCTCCTTGATTTCTTCCAATGCCTTCTGTTGCTCCTGACCCCAAGAAAAATCAGTGGCCTTATTCCGTAATAATTTTGTGATAGGTTTTAACTTCCCTGCGGCGTTTGATATAAAACGCTTTGGGTAATTCACCTTTCCCAGAAAACTTTGAACTTCTTTGACCGACTGAGGCGACCGCATTGTAAGAACAGCTTTGGCCTTGTTCGCATCAATTTCTATCCCTTTTTTTCATGTACTAAAAACCCCAAGAAATTCCATGCCGAAACTCCAAAGGCACATTTCGTTGGGTTCATTTTCAGGTTGTACCGCTTCATTCGAATAAAAGCATTTTTTAAATCAACCAAATGTGTATCAAAGTCGGTAGACTTAATGATCACATCATCAATATACACCTCCATTGACCGCCCAATTAGATCATGAAAGATGGTGTTCATAGCCCGTTGATAAGTTGCTCTGGCATTCTTTAACCCGAATGGCATAACTGCCCATTCATAGATTCCCAATGCTCCTGGGCATCTAAAAGCGGTTTTAGGTATATCTTCTTCTGCCAATGAAATTTGATTATACCCTGCGTATCCATCCATTAAACTTAAAATTCGATGCCCTGCTGCAGAATCAATTAACATGTCTGCTATAGGCATGACATACTCATCTTTTGGAGTGGCAAGATTGAGATCTCTGAAATCAATACAGATTCGGATCTTTCCATTTTTTTTGGTTACCGGAACAATATTGGCTAACCATTCTGCATATCGACATGGACGATCGAAACCAACTTTCAATAACTTCTCTATTTCTTCTTTAATATGGGGCATCAATTCTGAACTCACTCTCATTGGTGGTTGCTTATAAGGTTTAAACCCCTTTTTAATAGGCAACCTATGTTCTATTAAACTACGCGCTAGTCCGGGCATTTCGGAATAATCCCATGCCAGACATTCCTTGTGATCTCGAATTAACGCTACCATTCGCTCCTGTTGATTTTTTGTCAGTAAACCACTTACCTTGACCATCTTGGGTATCTGTTTGGTTCCCACATTATATTCAATAAGAGGATCCTGACTTGACAAAGAAGTTTCTGTCTTTTCCAAAAGGTCAGGCCGGCGAAAACTTTCTTCTTCGCCAACATTATTGTTGGAAATTTTATTATTATGTAGTCTAACCATTAATTGGTTTAAATAAAACTGCCTAATCAGTTTATCACATTTATTTATTTCTTTCATAAATTAAACTTCAAATAAAAGTTTATCTTGGCTAACAACAGAGCCATAATACAGAAGATTGTTTCTAATGAAACACACAACCCTGCGTAGTGAGCTTACAGCCCTTCCAGGGATACTCATCTACCATAGTTGTCCGTGAAATCGGTGGTACGTACTCCGTATAAAGAACCGATTCTTCCACTCCTTCTGTAGAACCAAACGGATTTGTACTGGCTTCCATGGTAAAAACCCGATCTCCTTCCCAAAACATAATCTGTTGATGGAGAGAAGAAGGCACACACTTGGAAGCGTGAATCCAGTCTCGCCCCAATAAAACTGAGTAGGTCGTATTGGCATCCACAACAAAAAACACGGTCGAAATCACCTTTGGTCCGACCTCAATGGGTGCCACCATCATTCCTTCTGGTTTGGTCGGTTGTCCTGTGAAGCTCGTCATCTCGATGTCTACCGGAGACAAATCGCCAATCTCTTTGCCCAATTTTCTTAAAGTTTTGAGGGGCATGACATTGAAGACAGCCCCATTATCTATAAAAACCTTGTTAACCGGTTTGCCACATATGTGAGCGTTAACATACAGTGGTTTTAAATGCGGGATCGCTCCTTCTGGAATAGGTGGAAAAACCATAGGTTGTGGTCTGCCAACCATCGCCGCCCATTTTGGTTCTTCTTCCTCCTCCTGGAACTTTGCCCAAATGGGTTCTTCTTCGATGAACCATCGCATATCTGTCATCCTGACTTCAAACCCTGTTTTATCAAGCTTTACTATCTTGCTGCACAAAACCTTCGTCTCTTCTGGAGCAAATGATCCAAAAATAATCTCAGGAGTTTCTTCCTCTGTATTTTCCATTTCAGGATCAATATTGATCTGTTTGCAGAATTGACATCGAAAACATCTGCCCTTCTTGATAGGCCTGCTGTTCTGCCCATGCTCCTCAGGCTCGTCATTCAAGTCCTTCCTTTTAGGTGATGATTCTTTCTTTTCCTTACCCTTATCTACTCGCTTTCCATGCCGCGCTGCATACCTGTGCTTAGCGTTACGAATTTGTGTGCGATTCATACCTGGAAATCGAGGGTCAATGTCTATTGGAAGAGGCTTTCTATTCCGGCTCCAGTTCTCCTGGGCTGGATGTGGTTTGCGCATTGGTCGGTCCCGTGCCACGACTTTATCTTTCAATTCTACTTTGAAAGAACCATCTTTTCTGTCCCATTTCTCTGCCACTTTAGTTTCACAAACTTTGAATTTCACTTCCTGATTGGATTCCCGTTCTTTAGGCCTGCGTTCTTTTCGTCTGGTGTCTTCTTCATCATCACTTTGCACAACTTGTGAAGACCGCAAAGAGATCATTGCAGTAGTTACTTTTGGGAAGGGCTGATGCTCTACTCCCATTGTTACATATTTGAATCTCCCTGCTTTGATAGCCTTCTGTATTTCCTTTCGGAAATGTGTGCATTGATTAGTGTAATGAGTAAAGGAATTATGCCACTTACAGTATGACCTTCCCTTTATTTCTTCCTTCGTTGCCAAACTTTGCCCTTTAGGAATGCGAATCTGCCCATCCGCCAACAGAATATCGAAGATCTCGTCGGCCTTGGATACATCGAAGGTCGGCTGCTCCCTCTCCTCTGTTCCTGGCAATGGCTTTAGTTTCGAACATACGTACGGTTTGCCATTCACAATTTCAGCTGCCATCTCTTTAATAATATTTTCTTGCCCTTCATCTGGCGAATAAATCTCTGTATCAACACTAGCCATTTGCTATACCCTGTTCCGACGAAAGTTGTGATCTTTCTCTCTAAACAAAGATTCTAATCTCCCTGCTTTGGAGGCCAGACTAGCCAAGTCCTAAACATCATGGGCTGTCAATGCCTCCCGAAGTCTGGAATGCATGTTCCTGACCACCAAATTGGTCATTTCACTTTCCTCGATGATTGTCGGGCATCTGCCTTTCATGAGTCGTATCCGTTCAATAAACTGATACGCGGTCTCTTCTGGCATCTGTCGGATCTCTAAAAGATCTGTGAGTGAGACTGTCGGGAGAGGATTAAAAAATCTTGTATGAAATGTTGCCTCCAGACTCTCCCAGGTTTGCAACTGCCCGGGTGGCAAATTTGCAAACCATGAAAAAACGGTCCTTGTAAGCGATAACCCGAACAATTGTAATTTATAGAAAGAATTATTGCCTACTTCCCCTAATTGAGCCGTGAAACGTCCCACATGCTCAATAGTTGATGACCCATCTTCTCCAGAAAATGAATGAAAATCGGTTGGTCTGTAATTCCTTGGAAGCGGATGCTCGTTGATGATTCTTTCTGGAAATGGCCTCTGGTACGCAGGTCTGTTGACCGTCTGGGGGTTCATTCCAAAATGTACCCTCAAGACCTGAGCAATGTCCTCTAGGTCTACTCTGGGTGGGACAGGATCCAATACCTGAATGGGATTGTGAGCCTGGCCTCCCAATCTTTCCCCTCTGAGGTCGGTAGGCTCGGTCCTAACACCCAACGGAATATTATTCGGGTATGTAAGAGGAGTCTTCCTTCTGTCAACCCTTGGGGCAGTAACACTTGGAAAAGTGCTGTCCACATATGAAGGCCCCGTAAAATTTGCCTGTAATCTGGATGGTGATAGTTCTGGTGGCGTCTGGATGGGTTGCAAAGTAACCCTTTGTAACGCCTGATTTAACGTATTTTGCATAAGGTTTTGTTGCTCCCGCAACATTTGTTGCTCGCGCAACATATTCTGCATGGCCAAATTATGTTGGTTGTTCAATTGCTGAACATAAGAAACCCAGTCAGCAGGTGTTTGTGGCCTTTCTCCTGTATTTGGCATGACAGGTGGTGAAACCGTTTCTCCCACCGGCACCGAAGATGATTGAGGCTGTGAGCCTGCCATGTGGATCCTTCCGACGATTCAGCCGGATCTCAATCGTATGAAACTCTCCGTTGACGTAGGATCAGCAATCTTGCCTTTCTCCCACTGTGGTCGCCAAATTGTTGATGCGTTTTTCAACAATAAAAAGTAAAATTCGAAAATAGAGAAATATCCCCGAATTTGATATATGAGTGCCTGAGATTAGAGATCTCTAAACACTGTAGAATACATAAAATAAAATAAGGAAAATAAAATAAAGGACTGGAAAATAAAAGTGATGATCCCCAAAAAATAATTTTATTGAATTTGATGTCAGTTGAAGATCCCTCATC